TACTTAAGTGTGATATTAATGATTTTGCTCAACAATTTCTGTAACCTGCTGCATTACATTTCTTTGTTTTTGTTTTTTAAATTGTATTGTGATTTGGATAAAGTTTACAGAGCAAATTCATCTTCCATACAGCAGTTCACATATACTTTGTCTCATGACATTGACTGTAATCACCCATAATGCAACAGCTCTCCTCCCACTTCCTCCCCATAGTCACCTCTTCCCTGTGTTCTTCCCTCCCATGCACTTCTGCCCCCCAAGCTGTCTCTCTGTGCATATATAGCCCTTCTATTCTCCCATAATTGATCTCTGCAAGGAGAGTATCTACCTAATGTAAATATTCAGCTCATATGCCTGTCTTTTGTTTGGCTGAAAGCCACAGGAGTGAGTTCAATTCCAGACCTGCAGGGCAGCTATGGGCCATAGTCTCAGGGGTTCCACCAGGCTCTATCAGACCAGCAAACCTGGTCCTTTTTTTCTTTTTATGATTTTGAATTTTGTTCTACATTTTTCTCCCAGTCTATCCAGAATCTCCTACATAGATCCCCCTCTGAGTGGTTGACAGTGGTAGCCGAGCACCATCTAGTTCTTCTGGTCTCATAGTTGTATAGGCTGAGGATTGCATGGTGTACCAGTCACTTGGACTAATTGTTTCCATGCATCTTAGGTTTCTTCATTCTTCTTTGCTCTGGATGAGGAGAGACCCATCATTGCATCCAGATGGCTGCTTGCAAGTTTTTAAGGTCCCAGTCACTACTTGCCAAAGTAGGACGTGGAACAATGTTTTTGTGTAGTACGTTATGCCAATTGAGCTTGATGTGCCCTGGGACCATGGTCCCGAGCCCACAGGTCCAAGTACTTCCTCCCTCTGGGTAACTGGCTATGGCAAAGAAGTGACTACAACCTTGTCCCTTATCAGCTCTACTATATATCTAGAAATTCTTACACAACATACAGATACATTTGTAGAAACATTGTCTGCCAACCCTATACATTGTCATGGGCACACTCCCCCCTGCATACCAAAATGAAAACCAAACTCACTGCTGTTGAGTCAGATCCAACTCATAGCGACCCCTCCTTGGGTTTCCAAGGTGATATCATTATGGAAGTAGATTATCCCATCTTCCTTCCGAGGAGTGGCTGGTGGGTTTGAACCACCAGCTTTCTGGTTAGCAGTCAAATGCCTTAGGCACTATGCTACCAGAGTTCCCCCACCCCTGCATAAAACATACCTAATTTTTCAGCCTGTCCACCCATCTATTCAATGTCTGCCATCACTGACAATGCAGTACTATATGTGCAAAAGGCTTCATCTTTCTTGTCTTCCTCTTCCTCAGTGACACCATGTTGATCACTCATATTTGGTACATTGCCCTTCTCTTCACCCAAATCAATACTTGTCTCTACCTATCTAGCAGTGCATCATGTTCCTCTGGAATTGGCACAAATACAGATCTCTTCCAGTTGGTTGGCTAGGTAGCTGTCTTCCAAATTTCTTGGCATAGATGAGTGAGCACTTCCAGCATTGCAACCATTTGTTGAAACATCTAAATGGGTATTTTGTCAATTCCTGGAGCCTTGTTTCTCACCAGTGTTTTCAATGCAGCTTGGACTTCTTCCTTCAATACCATTGGTTCTTTATCATATGTTTCCTTCTAAAATGGTTGAATGTCAACCAATTCTTTTTGGTACTATGACTCTGTGTATTCCTTCCATCTTCTTTCATCCTCATAGAATAATATGATGAATATAGTTGTAAATTGCTTAAATGCAATATCGCTTAGATCATATGAATACTAATAACAAAATTGTTTTACAAAATCTTTCTTCATTGAATTACAAAATTATTAATTACAACATTATCAGTAACTGAGAGGAAGCCTTTTTTAATTTTTCTCCTTTTTTCTTTAATTACTACTTCAGTCTCAGAAAAGTTATTGATATAGGTTCACAAATACTAATTACCACAATATTGTAGCTAAAATACCAGAAAATTTGACAAAATCAGCCAGTATAAAAACATTGACAGCAACAAAAAACAATAGCATGTGCTTGCATGCAGACGAAACCATGTGATTCGAAGAGTCATTGTAACTGTGTAATAATGACAGCTTTGACCAGGAGGTAGCAGAATGTTCAAAAAGTAATTTAGCATAGATTTTTAGCCTTGTAGGTATATTGATACATGTACACTGGGCTTACAAAAAACGTTTTTGTTGTTATCATAAACTACAGGGATATTTTTATAAAACATAATACATTTTGGCTGAAACACTGCACAAAAATTTTTATAGACAGTCATTTTGGTGTCATCCCGTGTGACAGTTTCACAAACTGCAGTCCTCATCCCCCACACCCCATGCCCTCTACTGACGCCACTACTCATGTGCAGCCACCACCTGTTTGTTAGTGGAGGCTTCTGTGATGTTATGATGCTAAACAGGTCTCAGCAGAGTTTCCAAACTAGCTGAAGATGGAGTAGTAAGAAAAGCTGCACTTCTAAACATCAGCCGGTGAAAACCCTGTGGATCACAATGATCCAATGCCCAACCCATCATGGGGATGGCACAAGGTCATACAGCATTTCCTTCAGTAGTACATGGGGTTGCCTTGAGTCAGGGGCCAACTCCACAGCAGCTAACTACTCTAGCATGAGTTTCCAAAGAACCTTCACAAGTCTCAGGTTCTAAGAAACACATCATGAAAAGGCCTGACCTGGTAATGCCAGTGGATTGAGAGAAGGTGCTCAGGTTTCTCAACTCATCAGGAACAACCACAAAGTTCAGTGTTAAATAGCCAATTCTCCTTCTTAAAGTACACAAAGAATGTATCTCCCTTTATTTTCATTCATCCACTGATCCTCAAAATTTAGGAATCATTTAGTAGTTGAAAACTGGGTAAGTCATGCCTTTCTTATTACTGAAGAAAAAGAAAAGAAGTTCAAGTTGGAGTTAGCTGCTTAAGGATGATCAGCTAGAACAGTTATTCATGTTTTGTAAATTTCACATTTATAATGCAGCACATAAAATGTGAAAACACACTTGAATTGTTTGCATGGGCACTGTTGAAAAAAAGTATCCAGCATGCATATTTTGGTTTTGTTTAAAAAAAAAAAACAAGAGAACCATCTGTCATTTTTGATAGTAATTTTTGCTGTCCTTCTCACTCTGACTGGGTGGCAAAAGTAGACTTCCATTGCCTTTCATCAACCTACCAACCCGAAGGTGTTCATACTTCAGTGCTGACACGACTCTGTTTCACTAGGTTTTGGTTAAATGCAATAATGGATCATCATTTAGTTTTCCAAACAGCTAAAATAATTTGGGAGAATTAAAAACAAACTATCTTTTAGATGAAAAATATTACCTCCAAAAATGACAAAGTAAATTATCTCTGAATTGTCACGAGTATTGAGGCTATAAACCAAAAACCAAACTAAACTCACTGCCAGCAAGTTGATTCCAACTCATAGCGACCCCCATTGGGTTTCTGAGGCAGTAAATCTTTGTGGAAATAGATTGCCCCATCTTCCTTCAGTCAATCACAAAATATAGTTCTTGTGTAAAATTACAGACATATTCTTGACTAATAATTCCATCCTAATTTTAAACAAATCCATCCAAAGTGTGTTGAATATGTAGTTCGTGTCTCTCCAAAATGTGAAAATCTTACACAAAATGTTCTGGTTCTAGGGTTGCTGTGAAGTCTATATGTTACTGAGGTTTCCCTCCGACCAGGGAGACAGGTAGCATAAAAGTATTGCGTCCCTCTGACAATTGATCCAATTCAATGTGAAAGGCAGAGGGATTCAACCTCAGTTTGTTTCCCTACGGATTAGTAAATTCGAGTATTTTTTGCCCACATCCCTGAATGTTGGTTGATTGCCTTCTGGAATAAGGTTTCCTGGAGTAAGAGAATCAGCCTGTCCCTTTGCCTTGCCAAGGACAGATCTGCCTATCAGCTCTTCTTTGCTGTAATGACAGTTGTGCTCTAAGACAAACAACTTATTCTTAGGGAAAAACAATCCATTTCAGCCATCACCCGTGCTTCCCAATAGCCATTCATTCACATCAGCCCATACTCTGATCTCTGACTTTCACACAAAGACTCCCCTGATGACAATCCAATGCGTGTGATGTATTTAAACAAATCTGGACTCCATTGCATTGCTTCCTCTGTTTTTGTTTTGTTTTGTTTTTTTAAGATGGTGAAATCTTGGTGAACAAAAAAATGATTAATTCTTCCCTGTTTCTTTAAAGACCATTTTCTGCTGACAACCTCTTAGCAAGTCCCCAAACCTAACTTGGAGAAAGGCTAAACCTACACTTTTAAGCAAGTTATTCCTGAGGACTTTAGTTTGCAGATCTACAACACTTCAGTTTTATGGGGACATTTGGATAAAACTCGCTTGTGTTAGAATATTAGCTAGTGCAAACCTCTCAGCTAATCCTACGTTTACAAGTTTTCAGCAGTATATATTTTGGAATCTTCTGTGTGCCCCAGAACACACAATATGGATCTAATTAAGTTCAGCTGCCTTATGTTAGTAATAAAATTGAAAAACGAAAAGAGAAGTGGGGGGCGGGGGCTTTGTTCTTCCTCTCCTAGCTCTGGCAATCACAAGCGCCCAAGGCACACATAGCCCGCGATCGGGGCCACCCACTGCCCTCAGTTGATTCCAACTCTTAGTGACCCTGCAGGACAGAGTGAAACTGCTCCATAGGGTTTCCAAGGCCGTAAATCTTCACGGAAGCAGACTGCCACATCTTTCTCCCGAAGAGCAGCTGGTGGCTTTCGATTAGCAACTGAGCATTTTAACCACTGCGCCACCAGCGCTCCTTCACTCGGACAGAACACTTTCTTTAAATACCCCTGCGTGGCTGAGCGCTCAAACTTTTCAGCTGTTGGGTTTTCACCAAAACTGCGGCCATCCTTCCCGCTGCCACCCCCGCGCCCAGGCGGGCGCGCCCCGCCGGCTCCGCGGCCCCACCACTTACACCAGCGCCGCCGGACAGGGCATCTGGTTCCAGGGACAATTGTACTGAGCCTGGATGAAACTCTCGCTCCCCTCCAGCACAGAGCAGCTCACATTCTTGTTCACGATGTATGCGCACCAGTTCCTGGAGGTGGTGGGGCCAAAGGAAGAAGGGCACAGTGTGAACCCGGAGAACAATAAGCCTGGGACGATGAGACAAACTGATGTAGCCACGGACCAAGCAAGGGTCTGGACTCCTCTTGCCCCTGAGGAGGCGGGAGCTTTGCTAAACAGGCAGCTGAGGGTGCGCGGGTGCGCCTTTGGAGAGCTTGCCCGAAAAAGGGAAAAGAAATGCACCCAAGCTCCTGGGGCTTCTGTAATTCCGGGCCGTAGTTTCTTGATGCCCTTTTCTGCTGGACCCTCCCTGAGCCCCACGCCTCTGGAGTCCGACTGCTCCAGGCTCTAGCCAGGTCGCCGGGGATGCCCCGCGCGGGCCGTGGCGCTCGCAGCCACCCTGGAGGAGGCGCCGCCGAGGAAGCTCGAGAGGAATCCCGGCTGGCTCTCATCGCCATCGGCAGGGACGCTTAGGTGCGCCGTGGAGGGTCAGTGAGGATAGACTGGGCCCCAGGGCTCTGGCAGGAACCTTGCGGAACCCGGGCGAGGAGAGAGGAGAGCGCACTTACTTGTTCCTGGCGCCCGGCCGCGCGGGCTGCCTTGTCTGCGGACTGGCAAGGCACAACCCCGCGCCGCCCAGGGCCAGCAGGGCCAGCGCCCAGCGCCAAGGCGTGCTGGACCGGGGTAGTGTCGGCTGCCACATTCTGCGGGCGGTGGGAACCACGAGGTTGCAGGCGGCCGGGGCGCGGCCGGAGAAAGCAGGAGGCTCCCGGCCGCCCCCTCCGGCTTCTCGTTCCCACTTCTTCTTTTCCAACCCCGCGCGCCCTGCACTTCTCCTCGGGTCCCTCAATGACGCACAGGTCCCCCCGGGTGCCGCCCTCTTTATTTCACTTCCCTCTCCGAAACGTGACTCCCTCTACCCCGTCTCCCTGTCTCCAGTCCCCTGGCCTCTCGGCAGGGGGTCTAGGGTGAAAGGGCTACAGGGCTTGGGAGAAGGGTCTACGTTACAGAATTTCCAATTACTCATTCCTTTGGTCTCTTCCCAGAAGCAGAGGAACTCCGCCTCCCACCTTCCAACAGTCGCGTAGTAGTCCATCGGGAAGTGGCCGCAGTCGGAGAGTCTGGCGATCCTCACCCCGAGCCTGGGTGCCGGCTTCCCGGGGTGAATGAGGGACATCTTTATCAGTCCCCGGGGATAGGACTCAACTCAGATTTCCCGAGGACTCTGGCAAGATGCAGCCATTCCTCTACAACTTTTATGGACTTGAGAGTCTAGGGGAAAACGACCGCTGGTTCTCCTGTTTAACCCAGCTCTACCTTAAGGCATCCATTTAACCTTTTCCAAGTCAACAGGCCCAACAGCAAAGGGACTGCAGAAGCGGCAGACCCACCACTTACTCACAGTTTCTGAAGCACAGCATTAGATTCTAATATATCCTACACTAATTTTTGAAGGGTAAAATCTCACGGCCTTTGCATTTGATGTCCTATTCTGAAGTTGTTCTCTAGTGATATTGATACTCCACAAGAGTCTTCTTTTGCATCTTCAAAGTTCAGGCACTGCTAGACATTAGTTCTTTCCACTTTCTTCAGTCTAATTTGCCAATTTTTGAGGTACACTATCTCTAACAATCCTTGGAGTGCAGAGACTACAAAAGAAGGCTGTGCAAAAGTCATGCCCAAAGTGTGGTTTTCTCCTGGGGTGTAGGAGACAGGAGAGGCCTGGCCACACCTGCTATGGGTCACAGTTACCCCCATGCCCAATGAGCACTATAATGAGGGGACTGGTAGAATGCATAGAATATGCTGCAGCAGGATGTACTTGGCTATGGACCATTTTGTACAAAATTTGGTATGTTCACTATTCTATTAACTGGAGCCATTGGCCCAATTTATCTCAAATATGTTTTGATGATGTTGCTGGGTCTTTTGATTTGCAAATAGAGGAAAGAAAATTCCCTAAGTAGAAATTTCATAAGAGCCAAGCAGAAAATTATACCATGTAAGGCCATAGTCTGTCCGTGAACTCTCTCAATGGAAGATCATGCAGATAGTGGACTGAAGTCATCCCAACCTTCAAAAGAGCCACCCTAGGGGGGAAACAACAGAAAGAGACAAAGAGCTGCCTTGTGTAACCCAATCTGTATCTTTCTGTAAGACTTCCCTGTCCTAAATGTTTATATATTGGAGGACATTTTCTTTGTTGGTTACCAGGGGTGGGAGGGAACGGGAGGGAATGCTGTTAGATAGATAGAGATAAATATTGATTTGGGTGAAGAGAAGGGCAATGTACCAAATGTGAGTGACCAATATGGCAGCACTGAGGATGAGAAAGAAAGAGAGAGTTACATGGGCAGTACAAACAACAAATATGAACCCCTTTGCAAATACAATACTGAGTTGTTAATGAAAGCAAACATGGGTATAGGGACGGATAGATGGGTGAACAAGCTAAACAATTATGTATGTCTAAATGGAGAGTGTATCCAAGATCATATACAGGGTTGGCAGACAATGGGCCTCTCGAAGAGTATGAAGGGATGGACACTGGGAGGAGGTAACTATGGGGAGGAAGTGGGAGGGGAGCTGCTGCATTGTAAATTTTGGTCAATGACATGAGACAAAGTATATGTGAACTGCTGTATGAAAAGTGAATTTACTCTGTAAATCTTCACCCAAATCCTAAAAAAAAAAAAAAAAAAAGACTTCCCTGTCCTTCCTGTCCTGACACTGCTTTTGTTCATGGAGTGTCATAGGAAAGAAACAGCATGAAAATAAAGAATAAGAGAAGAAAAAAATGGAGGCAACACACAGGTTCTGTATGTCTACAACTAACAAGAATTCACCTTTCTCTTTAATATCGGCAGTTCTCAAACTTGAAAGGGACTCAAACTGATCAAGTCAAATGTGGTATCTTCTTCACTGAATCAAAGTTATACTTGTCAGCTGCTATTGGAGTCAGCCCTAGCCTCGACTCGTGACAAATCCACGCCCAACAGAATAAAACACTTCCCTGTGCCGTGCCATCCTCACGATTGGTTGTGGATCAGATGGCTGTGATCCACGAGGTTTGGCTTTTTCTATTTAATAATTTATTTTGTTTCTGTTGGGAATATATTCAGCAGAACATACACCAATTCAGCGTTTTCGACATGTAGAATTCAGTGTCATTGATTACAATCTTCTAGTTGTGCAATCTTTTTCTAAGCTGTTCCTCTGTCATTAACATAAACTCACTGCCCCTTAAGCTTCTTATCTAATTTTCTGAATTGCTATTGTCAATTTGATCCCATATAGACAGATCTTAAGAGAGTATAATACTCAAGGCAGACATTCTTTACTAGTTAACCTAAACTATGGTTTGGTTTTAAGAAGACTCCAGGGGGTATTTTGGTTCAAGGTTTAAAAATTATTCAGGGCAATAGTTTCAAGGGTTCATCCAACCTCCATGGCTCTAGAAAGTCCATGAGAATTTGCAATTCTGTTCTGCATATTTCCCCTTCTGATCAGAATTCTATGTACTCTTTGATCAAATGTTCAGTAATAGTATCTGGGCACCATCTTGTTCTTCTGGTCGCATGGCAAACCAGGTAGTTGTTTAGGAAGGTAATTAGGCACACACTGCATTTCCTCCTCCTATTCCTGACTCTTCTCCCTCTTTTGTTCCAGGTAAATAGAGACCTATATTTGTGCCTTGTATTGCTGCTTGCAAGCTTTTAACACCCCAGGCACTATGCAATTAACTAGAAGGTAGAATAGAGGCACTAAGCAGGTTATTAGGCCAATTAACTAGGATGTCCCATGAAACCATGACCCTAAGTCTCCAAACCAAGGAGCCAAATCCCATGAGGTGTTTGTTAGTACATAAGCAGCCTCAGTGGCTACTTTCAGGTTTTTGTTGTTTTGTTATAAATATATCTATTACACAACTTTTGCCAATTCAATTTTTTATAGGTGCAAGACTTATTGACAGCAATTCCAATAATTGGCTCTGCAACCCCATCACTCCCTCCCACCACTGGCAACCATTAATAAACTTTGATCTCTACATGTTTGCCTTTTCTAGTCTTTTAATATAAGTGAAGTCATACAATATTTGTCCTTTTATGATTAACTTATTTTCATTCAGCATAATGTCTTCAAGGTTCATTCATACAGTAGCAGGTATCAAGATTTCATTTTTCCTACTAGTTGAGTAGTATTCCATTGTATGTATGTCCAAAAACCAAACCAAACTCACTGCCATTGAGTTGGATCTGATTCATAGCAACCCCTCCTTGGGTTTCTGAGGCGGTATCACTGTGGAAGTAGGTTGCCCAACCTTCCTTCTGAGGAGTGGCTGGTGGGTTTGAAGCACCAGCCTTCTGGTTAACAGTCAAATGTCTTAGGCACTATGCCACCAGAGCTCCCTTTTCTGTATCCATTCATCTCTGTTGATGGACTTTAGGCTGTTTCCAACTTTTGGCTATGGTAAATAATGCTAGAATAAATGAACACTGATGTACAAGTCTCTTTTTGAGTCTCTGCTTCAAGTCTTTTGGGTATATACTTAGGAGTGGAATTGGTGGGTCATATGGTAGTTCTGGGAGCTCTGGTGGCATAGTGCCCAAGGCATTTGACTGCTAACCAGAAGGCTGGCTATTCAAACCAACCAGCCACTCCTCAGAAGGAAGATTGGGCAATCTACTTCCGTAGAGATACTGCCTCAGAAACCCAAGGAGGGGTCGCTATGAGTTGAGACTGACTCGATGGCAGTGAGTTTGGTTTGGTTTTATGGTAGCTCTATTCCTAGTTTTTTTTTGAGAAGCAGTCCAACTTTTCGTTGCAATGTCCACAATACTATATTTATGTTGTTACTTGGTGCTGTCACATTGATTTTCGACTCATAGTGAACCCATGTGACAGAGTAGAACTGCCCCATAGGGTTTTGTAGGCTGTAATATTTACAGGAACAGATTGCCAGGTCTTCCCCCCCCACCCCGAGGAAACAGGTGGGTTGATTTGCCAGTCTTTTGGTTAGCAGCCAACCACTTGATTGCTGCACCACTAGTGCTCCTTATACTATATTCAATTATTTATAAATGGCATGAATTCAGTAAATAATTATACACTGAACTTCTGTACATGGTAGTGATTGTGCAAAAACACTAAGAATTCATCAGTGAGTAAAAACCCTGTATTTATAGTATCACAGAGCTTCCAGGCATTCCTATGTAGTGAAGGCTATGAAGTTTCTGATGCATAGTCAACTAACTAGCCAATACTTACCACATGCGTTTGTCTATATGCATTCTCACATGTGCCTAGAAGGGTTGCTTTGGGAGATGGAAGAAGACTCCTGGCTTTTTAGGAGGCAACCAGAAGACCTGAGACTAAGAGCCCAAGACACTCTCACCTCTTTCTTTTTCTCAGCTAGAGGAAGGGATATGTTTAAGTCAGGAACCAGAGAGCTTCAGAAGAAATAAGGCAGAAGGAAGCTTCTTGAGAATAAGCACAGTCAAAAGCAGACTAATTGGATCGGTCATCTGGTCACAGCCATAAGCAACAATGTGGACAGAACTGGTAGAGTGCTGCAAGTGTGAATTTTTTATGAGCTGCCAGCTGCCTTAAACAACCACCCCTCATCTGTCAATTTGCCCTATTGTGGCTTGTATGTTGTTATGATACTGGAAGCTATGCCACTGGTATTTCAAACACAAGCAG